AACTTGACATAGCATCAAAATAGCCTATCTGTTTCGATGGAATGGAACAGCTGAACGGAATGCTGTTCTCTGGAACCGTTGAAACTTTAGGCAAAACGGAACAGTGCCGTTTTGCACAGCCCTACTATCTAAGCACCTAAAGAGGTCCTGGATTGCTAAACGTAGACACACAATGTTGCTAGTCCACCAAGCTGTAAGATTTGGGGCATGCATGTGTGTGTGTGAGAGAGAAAATCTTGTCTCCTAATGTTTTGACATCAGCGTGCTCCTTGGTCCTTGTATACACCTCAGTATCAGGCCTATGCATCTTATAAGACTGGAGTGAAAACAAGGTCTTCACAATTTAAACACATGCTAGCTTCTCTGTATCATGTGACCCATCAGGTTCTCACTACAGTATTGAATGAGAATCTAGTTCAGATTTGGTTTGCTTCTTGTTTTGAATCACCCCCAAGCCGGCCTCTTTGTTTCAGTGAAGGTTCGAAGCTGAAATGGAGCCTCACATCTCCAGTGTCTTAACATAAAGTTACATTTACTTTAACCCCAATGTGCCCTTCCTGGGAAAGGTATGGGGCAGCAGCATGCATTCAAGTATCTTCCCTTCTGTTCTCCTTCTGGCAGGAAGTGCCCTGAAGGCTATGAATGTATGAAAGCAGGAAGGAACCCAAACTACGGCTACACTAGTTATGACACATTTAGTTGGGCTTTCCTTGCTCTCTTCCGCCTCATGACTCAGGATTACTGGGAGAACCTCTTCCAGCTGGTAAGCTGTTTCTTTCCTTTTACTGTGCCTTCCCTTTAGCAGAGGGAATTGTCTGCATTAACTGGCACATGCCCCTCCAGATGTGTTGTGGGGGCTTCGAGTTGATGTTCACTGTGTGCGTATGTATGAATTTTACTTCCTTGCATGATGTCTTCCCTTTGCATGCAGTGGTGAAAGATTTATTTCACTCATGGTCTAGAAGATCAGAAAAATGCCCGTAACCACTAGGTCTAAAGCAGGTGAGAGCCTGTCCTTTTGCTTACAGGAATGCATGCACTATCATGCGGGTGGAAGCAACCACCCAGTTCCCACTCTGGCCAATGCAATGCTGTGTAATTGTATATGGATATGGGCCAGATACAACTGGTGCACATGTTGCAGTTGACAGCAAGGATAATCACAACCTACAAAATAAGTCACATACATGATGGCATCTAGGACTAGAAATTAGTCGTATGGTTGCAAAGACTGAGTGGAGCTGTGGGAAGAAACTGGTAGGAGTAGCAGGTTCCTTATCTTCTCTGTTAAAGCAACCACAAGAGGGCAACATCCCACAGGTAGGTATAGCCAATACATAGGGATCTACCCTATTTGTGATATCGAGTTTTTCATGGAAACTATGAAAAAAAAACCCTATTTCCACAAACCCCGTGAAAATACCAATATCCATGATTTTGGCATGGAATCACTAGGAAAAAAGGTTACTTAAACGAAAATGCTGGCTCCCCAAGGCTGCTGAAGCCCAGCCTTGCAGCCCACCGTGGTGCGGGGAGAAACCACTGGCCTAAAGGGAAGCAGCAAAGATGGCAGCAACCCCCCCCATCCTTCGCTGCTGATTGGCCAAGAAGGCTGCCCATCATGTGGCCCCGCCCCTCTCTGCCAATCAGCAGCGAGGGTACAACAAATATATTAAACCTCCAGTTTGTAGCTAGACCCCTATGGTTGAGACCTCCACAGCTCGGAAGTATTTAGATCTGGAATTCAGCTCATTCTAATTACAGGAGTCTGCTGTGAAATACAGATCAAAGTGCTGATTCACTGACCCTCCGGAGTGTGGCGGTCTGCAATATTTATTTCAAGACCATGGTCATGGATTTAATACTTTAATTATGGTGGAAGAGCCATGCAGTCCACTGCTGCCTATACTGGAGCAGAATCCCTGCAGATTCTGCTGGTTGAGGCATAATCCACTTCTGTGGACTGCAATAGGAGGCGTTGATGGTGAGAGCTGATCAGTAGCCTAGCTTTTCACTGAATAGCATGGATATGCATGACTCTCCCCCCAGCCCTTCTCTGGGAAGGGGCACTTAGGCGACACAGCAATTTGAAAATAAATAGTTCCTTGCATAATGGAAACATGCCTCTTCTTTTTGTAGACTCTACGTGCAGCTGGGAAAACTTACATGATCTTCTTTGTTCTGATTATATTCCTCGGTTCCTTCTACCTCATCAACCTGATCCTGGCTGTGGTAGCCATGGCATATGCAGAGCAAAATGATGCTACTGCACTGGAAATACAGCAGAAGGAGGAGGAGTATCAGAAGCTCCTGGAACAGCTGAAAAAGCATCAGGAGGAACAAGCAAAAATGGTTAGTCATCTGCTTGGATACTATGGGCATTGTCAACCTAAGAGGATGGGGTGGAAAGGGGGAAGCAGAGGGAAGGAATCTGGGTCAGGACCTTGCACAGTCTGACTCACAGGCTGCAACACTGTCCTCTGCATCTTGCACAAGAATTCCAATGGTTGTATTTTATTTTGCACATCCCTCTTTTGAAACAACTGAAATTGTGGCAACCTGAACCAGGATTGGTGTATGTACAGTTCCACACAAAGGCAACAATGCTACTTTTGGATTGGTAGCACTGCTTTGTTTCCCAATCAGAAGCTATGTAGCTTGTAGGGCTGTGTGAAGTGGCTAGTATTTGATTTGAATTTGGATTTGGATTTGGATTTGGCCAATTCGGGGGACAGTGATTCGATCTGGTGATTTGAATTTGGGGGGGGGGGG